GCAACCGGCAACAATTCCATCACTGTCTGTATTAGCTCAGTGTTTATGAAAAATAGGAAATACAAATATATATTCCTATTTTCCCCTTCTAGACTCTGCCATTTCATATTGCAGCATTCGCTATACGATGCGCTGCACTCTCATTGTCCACCTAACACACTCCATGCCCTTTACATTCCATCAAACTGTGCTGTTGGATGTGCTGCTGAATCCTGTCCACCAGTACTTGCTTTGGATTTTAAAGTTCACATCAGTCAGTGACGACGGCTGTGCCGCTTCCTGGCGGTGCTGCCTTGGTCGGAGTTGGTGCCGATGTCCGCTCGCTTCATCGGCAGGGTGTGGACTGTCCCTTCCTGCTTCCTGGAACGGCTCAGAGACCTCGCCGCCCTCTAGGTTTTAGAGGTTTTATCAATCCTCCTCTGGAACCCTCTGGGTTGGTGATGTTGAAATTCTAAAGAGTTTCTTCTAAGGAAATCCATCTTTGTAGACCTTCTATGTTGTCTAGGGCAAGTTCTGATAAATTATTTTCCTAGAAAATTATCTTTTCCTCCAGGATTTTCACATTTACTCAGGCCTGTGCGTGAACGTGACCGCTGCGTCCCGGCTTTGTGAGGCGCTCTCCGTCCCTCCCCGTCAGGCCAGGGTGCGTGTCATCGCTGGGACCTGTGCTCGCCTCCGCCAGGCCCAGCAACCCGGCCCCCCTACCACTTCTGCATGTTCTCAGTGGTGTCTTCTCATCTCATCAAGGCACCGGCCGTGAGCCTCCTGCTTCCCGTTCGTTTTCCTGCTCTGCCCGGTTTCTGGACCGAACGCCCTTTCCCGCCGAAGCCTCAGTGCAGCGAGCACACCTGATGAAGGACTCTGGTCCCCGGAGAGAATGAGTGCCTGCGGTTGCCTTTCCACTCAGCCTGAAGGGAGTGACAGCTAGACAGCCCAGCTGCCCACGGGAACCCGAGAGACCGAGCTGACCAGTCCCTGGAGGACCGGCCAAAGGCCGGTCCCGTCCCTCCGCCTGCTCTGTGCCTCCATGACGCAGTCGGCTCGCTTGTGTAACTGCTGACGAAAAGTCCCAGAGAAGAGGTAGCCCACAGTCTAGCCACAGAGAAATGCCCAGCTGGCCTCGGGCTGAGAGCGCCAGCACCGTGGAGGGTGCCCCTCGGGTAAGACTTCTGCCCGGGTGATCGGTCAGAGGGCGCAGCCTTCACAGACAGCCCATGGTGCGACCTTAACTTCCGCCTGCTGACAGGGGTCTTGTGTGAACACTACGCACCAGGCGCTCCGGCCCACGCTGAGCTATCACGGCGATTTTTGTCATGGGAACAAAATAATTAACCGAAAATGCAATCAATGGGACCAAAAAGGAGTTTCCTCCTTGAAAACACACGCGTACCTTGGGCGCCAGAGCGTGTGCCACCACCAACGCCAGGACACTGGTCCCCACCCGTCCATCCCCAGGGAACACCAATGAGCTTCTGATGTTGCAAATGACGCAGGAACCGGCCAAGAGCAAGGCCCCAGGGGCCCAGCGTGGCGGCACCTGCCCAGCCCTGTCTCTACCATAAGTTTCCCCTCTTGGCACTCACCGGTCAGTCGTGAAAATGTACCCCACAAGGTCCTTACAGCTTAACAGCAGGACACAAAAGGCTACCGCAAAGAGCTCTGGAGGGAAAACAAGAGAAAAACAGCCCCATGAGAAAGGAGGCCCCTGGGCCGGGCCCGGCGGTCCCGCGCAGAC